AAGTGCCTGCAAAAGGGCAAGCATGATTTTAGCTTTTGTTGGGTGTCTACTATATTCCAAATATATATCAATTAGGAGGTCTCTGAAACCCTCCACAGAAACTTCACCCATGGAATTTGTCTTTGATAATGAGGGTTGGGCAGCATCTTCCTGACACCTTCAATATCCAAGCACCTCTGACCCCCACCATGCAGAGCTTGCAGTTTCAACCTCATGGCTCAAAATGACTGCCACGATGCCAGCCCTTAACCTAGGCTTCATGAAGAAGAGAAGAGCCCAGGAGGAGGCAGTGATGCCTATCTCAAGGGAGCAAACGCTTACCGGACAGTCCTCTGTAGACTTCCAATGACATCCCTTCAGCAGTGTTGCATGGCCCTGAATTTCAAGGTAGCTGGAAGGTCAGGAAACTTCTCCGGGCCCATTTCTAACACCACTGCCTCCAGGGTTCTCTTAGGAAGGGAGAAGGGAGACCAGCCAGTGGGCCCGCAACTGGCAACATGGTCCCTCGTGCTCAGCAGTTTGAGATGGTTCCACAATCATTCCCATGAGGCAGGTATTTTTTAACAAACTACAGCACAAAGAAGTTGAGGAACGTGAACCAAGCTCCTCAGAGCTGGGATCTGAACCTAAATCAGGGGTCTCCAGGTTCTTTCTCTGAACCTGGCTTCTGCCATTTTAGGTAGAAATTTGGCTATCACAGATAAGGAAGGCTGCCAGGAGGAATCTTTGGTCTCCCTCCTCCCTCTTCTCCACCCCTGCCTGCCCAAGACCGCCACCTCATTTCCGACTTTTACCCAGGTAATCTGAAATCACACATTGTACGGGCTAAGCCTGGATGATGTGTCTAATGTTTCCAAGTAACTCGGTACAATAATGTCCTTTTCTGTGACTGGGAGCTCGGGACAATGCAGGCTCCCCAGCCAAGTCACGTTGCATAAGACAACAAGGACACTTCTCCATCTATCAGGAAACGAACCCCTTTGGCCACAGTGGAAAGTCTATGAGGTCTGGGCACTACCGGCTCCTAAAATCTCTTGTGGAATGCTGAGATTTGTTTCAGGAGCAGGAGGAGAGCTAGGGGGTATGAAAAGGAAACCAGGGATTAAGATAACCCTCTACAGGGCAGCCCACGGCTCTGATATTTCCTGTTGAGCAAACATCTGGGTTCTGGCACCGCCGTGGGGCAGCTCTTCCTGAGACTGTCAGCCCCATACCTCCCGAAGCTCCTGGAGCACCTGGGTGGTGGGATCAGAAGGAGAGGTCAGGGGGTTTCAAGACCTGCAGAAATCTGGGTGCCACTACACCCCTAAAAGCAGCGGGAAGAGCTGGAGGTGTCCACAGCAGATGGGGAGTGGGTAGGGCCGGGTGGTGGCCCCAGCTGCCCACCACCTCTTCAGAGGATGTGCTGGATGAGGACATACAGAGGCTTAGACATGGGAGTCCCAGCAGAGGGGGTGGCAGGACCAGTGGGAGCTTCCCCTTGTTTAGGGCACCTCCCACTCCATTGAGATCTGGCCCATTTTGATAACTCCCACGCTACGCTGAGAGCCACTGCCCAGGCATCAGTCACCTCACCCTGCAATTGGGCATGTAGAGACGCTGTGCCATAAAGCCACTGGAGGGTGAAGGGCTGCTGTCACACCGCTGCCTCTGAGACCACCAGGCATGTTCAGCTCTTCTTACTCACATCCCAGATTCCTGGTGGTGGGTCTTCCCCTGCTAGTCCGTCCTCTTTGCATATCCTTGCCACATTAATCTTCCCAAAAATGCCATGTGCATGAACCACCCCCACCCCACACTCTAAACCCTTCGAGACTGATCCTGAGCACATCCACTTACTGGGTCCTGCACCAGGCAGATGAGAAAACTGAGACTCAGCAAGACACCACAAAGGCCCGACAGCTGGTCATTGGAACCACTTCACTAATCAGTGAAGCTAGAAGGGAAAAGCTGGTCTGTGTGAGTCTCTCAGCCACGTTCTCTCCCCCAGACCCACAGGACCAAGCTCCTGACTCTTCACCTGGTGGTGAAGGTCCCTACCACACTGGCTAGTACTCCTACCATCGTCCTTTATGCCAGCATCTCACTCACTCAGGCCAGGCCAGTCTCCCTGTTCCTCAGACTCATCTCCACTGCTCACACAGGAGCCCCACCAGGAATGCATCTCCTTCTTTGTTGTAGCCAGTTTCTAAGATGTCTTTCATATTCCTTCCCACTGGTATCCACACCCTTGTGTAGTGCCCTCTCGCACTTAATAAGACTTATTCTGCAACAAATATCAATAATGGAGTGTGATTTTCCAGACTAGATGGTAAAAGATGTTGTGGCTTCTTGGATTGCATGCTCTGGGGAAAATCAGCCGCCATGTTGTGAGGATGCTCAAGCATTGCTGTGGAGAGGTCTCCATTGCCAGGAGCTGAGGCCTCCCACCAGTTTGCCAAACACATGAGAATCTGCATTTGGAAGCAGATCCTTGGCTTTGCTCAAGCCTTCTGATGATGCAGCCCAGCCAACGCCTTGACCACAACCTCATGAGAGACCCAGAGCCAGGACTGCCCAGCTAAGCCACTCCCAAATTCCTGACCCACAGAAATTGTGTGAGATAATAGATGTTTCTTGTTGTGTTAAGCCATTAAGTGCTGGGGGAAATCGTTGTGCAACAATAAACAACTGATACACATGCCTTTGGTTTTTCAGAGTCCTTCCCTTCCTCAGAAGCCAGGGTCAAGCCCACCTCCATTCCCACTCCTGGGAAGACTGCTCTGACGGTTGGCCACAATTTTACCCTCCCCTGGGCTCCACACAGTGAACCTGACATATGCTTTGGTATGGTGTCCACTCCCATAACCTCAAAGAGCCTCCACAACACAGGAGCCCCAGAGGACAAGACCCTGCTGGCTCCCTCATGCCCCTGAACCTGGGTCATTGGTACAGGAGTGCAGATGATACTAATGATAGCATCAGAGAGCAGAGCAGACTCATGACTCCTCAGCAGGAGGGTGACTGGAGCAACTCCTGCCTCTGGAGAGAATGAGAATTCGCTTTTACCAGGCCCTTGCTAGGTAGAGGCAGGGACAAGCTACACACTTGACAAGTATCCTACTGACTCCCTGGGGCAAGAGGGTATCCTGGGTATCCCCATCCCACCGACAAAGGCAGCTTCAGCTCATTGTCCAAGGTCACTCAGTTCAGCCATGTCTGGCCCAGGACTGGAACCAGCTGTTGGCTCCAGTGTCCACCCAGCCCTGCCTGCCCTGTCTCAGGCACCGCCACTCCTGCTTGCTCCTCGATGCCCCCATGCTCCAAAGGCCTTCACTGCACGCACCCACACGCATGCACCAAGGCTGGAGACTCACACTACCACCACAAACTCAGCACACCTACCCAGCCCCGCCCCAGGTCTCTGATGTCACCAGACCTCTAAAGCCAGGAAGAGATACAAATGCATTGAAGCATGTTCACAGGGGAACACACGGCGACAAGAGCCACACCCTCCACCTGGAACCTAAGCCACTCGGAAGGCCATGCAAGGAGGAAGCAGGGCAGAGTTGGGAACCTGAGACCAACCCAGAACCTATTCCTGTATCAGCTCATTCACTCACTCACCGTTCACATGCAAAGTCCCTGAGCACCTACTATGTGCCAGGCACAGTGCTAAGCCCTGAAAACGCAGCGGGGAATGCAACAAGCTCTCCTGGGCTTCCAGCCCAGCCGGGAGAGAGACTGTGAGCTAACCAAGCCCCAGCTCTCCCTGGACATGCCAGGTGCCCGTGAGCGAGTCTTCAGCCTCTCTAGAGCCTCAATTTGCCCTCTCAAAATGGGGAGTGATGGGGAGCAGGGGCTGTCACCCAGGGGACCCACAGAGGGACATTTGGCAATGTCTGGAGACATATTTGGTGGTCATGCTGGGCAGTGGTGGGGTGGGGATGCTACTGGCATCTGGTGGGTAGAAGCCAGGGATGCTGCGAAACATCCTAAAATGTACAGGACAGCCTCCACAAAGAGTGGCCCTGTCCAAAACGTGTATAGTGCTGCCATAGCGGAGAAACCCCAGCTTGGAGGAATTGACGAGCCTGCAGTTGGAGAGGCTGCAGCACTGAGCCTGGCAGCTGGACAGTCCCTGACAAAGGTGTATTCCCTTCTCCAGCTGTTCTTGAGGCCCTTACTGAGACCAGGGGACCCTGAGCCCTGCAGGGCCCCAGGCCATTGAGGTATACACAGCCTCTCTGCCTGTCCACCCAGGTCCCAGGGCAGGGCCATGTCAGCAGAACCCACAGCCAGCACACAGACAGGAGGAAAGCAGCCCAGGCCTAATTCCTCACCTCTGTTGGTCCTGGGTTTCTTGAACACCCATCAGGACTCAGGGTCTCCCCTCCCACAAGGTTCCAGCAAGGCTGCATGCAGCCTGCACTCACCCATCAGGTCCCTCTCCTGCTGCACCTCCCCAGCCTCCCCAGCTGAGAGGCAGGATCTTCCTTCCAGACCCGGACAGTCTGGGGCAAGTGTCCTCCCTCTGTGGGTCTTGGTTCCCCCACATAATGAGAATCAAAATAACTGCAGCCCCAAGTCACAGCGTGGGCTTGGGGTGGGACCTGAGTGTCCCTCCTCAAACACAGAACCTTCCTTCTGACCACCAGCGCTGTTCTCTGTGGGACTGCATTCGTTTGTTCTCACGCTGCTAACAAAGACATACCCGGAACAAGGTAATTTTTAAAGGAAAGAGGTTTAATTGACTCACCGTTGCACATGTCCAGGGAGGCCTCACTATCGTGGCAGAAGGCAAAGGAGAAGCAAGATACATCTTCCATGGCAGCAGGCGAGAGAGAACGTGTGTAGGTGAACTCCCCTTTATAAAACTGCCAGATCTCGAGACTTGCGCACTACCACAAGAACAGCACAGGTGAAACCGCTCCGCCAGATCTCGAGACTTGCTCACTACCACAAGAACAGCACAGGTGAAACCGCTCCGCCAGATCTCGAGACTTGCTCACTACCACAAGAACAGCACAGGTGAAACCACTCCGATGATTCAGTTATCTCCACCTGGCCCCACTGCTGACACGTGGTGATCATTACAATTCAAGGCGAGATTTGGGTCTGACACAGCCCAACCATATCAGGGATCCCAACCCTGGAGAAAACAAAAGGGTCAAGCACTTCTTTTTCTGCGGTGCGTAACTGTGGGCTTCAGACACAGCAGAGTCAGGAGGACTCCTGTCCTTTGACCTGAGGCCAAGAGCCTGCTCTGACCTCTCATCACGCTTCCCCCGTGCCCAGGTCAGAAGTCTGTGCCCAGGCCTGCTCCTGCTGGAGGCCCCTCATCCCCACTAAGAGCCTGCCACGGACTAGACATGTTGGGCTACAGGGGCCCTGCACCAGGGCAGTCATCATCTTTACCAGCACAAAAACCCCCTTGATGACAGAGCCTCAGCAGGCCCCAGCCTTGACCCTGGCTTTCACGGTCCATTGGGTTTTGTTATAATTTACCATTTCCACTAGATGGGTGGTTCCAAGTTCATTCACTTGTGCCACAAGCATTTATTGGACCACCTACTGTGTATCAGGTGCTGTGGACAGGGATGTATGTGACTCACAACTTCATCGGGGCATGGAGAGTCTGTCCACCACCGTCAGGAGCATCGTGAGGAGTTGGTGCCATTCTGGGGACTCCACGTGAGAGCCCCTTGGGTCACTGAGGGAAGAGACACAAAACACAAGAAATTTGCAACCCAAGGGAGACCTACGGAACAGGAGCGGGGCCGGCAGCACCCTCACCCTGAAATAACCACCTGCCAATGATGTTGGTTAAATCACAGCCAGGTTCCTGCGTGGATGCAGATCTAGGAGGCCTGATGGGGTAAGACCTGACCTGGGAAAGCTACACGGCATCGAGGGATTGATTCCCAGTTCTGCCACTCATACTGTTCCACCTTGGACAAATAAGTGATTCTCTTATAAACCCAGTTTCCCCACCCTGAGAAATGGGGCCAGGAACCTGCTGGGGGGTGAGGAGAGTGGGTAGACTCTGATAAAAATGTTTGTGTTTGGGCTGGGTGGCTCAGCCCACACAGTGATAGGGAAGGTGCCCCCAGGCTGGACAGAGAGGAGGAGGAGAACCCCTGGGGCACAGGCAAGCAGCAGCTGCCCAGGGCTGGAAAGGACAGGCAGACGTGGCTCATTCAGCAATTGTATCTTCTAAGCAGTGGGCAGCCTTGGGGTCCCCTGGACAAGGTCACTGATATGGTTTGGCTCTGTATTCCCATCCAAATCTCATGTTGAATTATAATCCCCAGTGCTGGAAGAAAGGCCTGGTAAGGCCAGGTGCAGTGGCTCACGCCTATAATCTCAGCACTTTGGGAGGCTGAGGCGGGCAGATCAGGAGGTCAGGAGATCGAGACCGTCCTGGCTAACACTGCAAAACCCTGTCTCTACTGAAAATACAAAAAATTAGCCAAGTGTGGTGCTGCATGCCTGTAGTCACAGCTACTCGAGAGGCTGAGACAGGAGAAACACTTGAACCCGGGATGTGAAGGTTGTGATGAGCTGAGATTGCACCACTGCACTCCAGCCTGGGCAACAGGGCGATATTCTGTCTCCAAAAAAAAAAAAAAAGAAAGGCCTGGTGAGAGGTGATTTCGTCATGGGGGCGGATTTCCTCCTTGCTTTTCGGGTCATAGTGAGTGAGTTCTCACGAGATCCAATTGTTTAAAAGTGTGTGGCTCCTCCCCCGTTTTCTCTTCCCTTTTCTCCAGCCATGTAAGACATGTCTGCTTCCCCTTCACCTTCTGCCATGATTGTAAGTTTCCTGAGGCCTCCCCAGCCATGCTTCCTGTACAGCCTGTGGAACTATGAACCAGTTAAACCTCTTTTCTTTATAAATTACCCAATCTCAGGTACTTCCATATAGCAACGTGGGAATGAACTAATACAGTCACCCTGCAGTTCTGAGGGCAAACAGTTGGGCAAAGGCTGACACCAGCACCAAAACCCGCAGGGTGGCCCAACAGCTTCGCATCTGTTGTTCACAGGTGGCAGAGCAGCCTTGGCCAACAGCTGCCCAGGTGGACAAGGGCGGCTGTGACAGGGACAGCCTGGCCAGCTGCAGCTGCTAGTGGCCACAGGACGTAAGCACTGCAGGGCACTGTAGACAAAAGTGAATTCACACCAAAGGGTCACAGACATAAATGTAAAACCTACAACTACAAACCTGGAAGAATACAGAACTAAAGTTCTGCAACTTCGAGTTAAGCATGAGTTTTTAGGTATGACTCAAAAAGTACAAAGTATAAAAGAACAAAATCATAAATTAGACCTCATCAAAATAGAAATTTCTTCTCAAAAGACACTGCTAATAAAGTGAAAAGACAAGTCACAGGCTAGGAGACAATATTTCCAAATTGCATATATTATAAATGTCTCTCATCTAGAACATAGAAGAACTCTTACAACTCAGTCATAAAATAAACAACGCCTATTTTTTAAATACACAAAATTTGAACTGACACTTCACCAAAGAAGAAAAGAGATGGCAAATAAGCAACTGGATGGCAAACTGAAAAGATGTTCAACAACATTAGAGAGTTGGGAAAGGCAAATTAAAACTACCATACTTACTAAAGTGGCTAAAATTTAAAACTGACAATACCAAGTGTTGACAAAGATGTGGAGCAACTGGAACTCTCATACCTTGCTGTTGGGAATGTAACACAATGCAGCCATGTCGGGAAAGAGTTTGGCAGTTTCTTATACAGTTAAATATACACTTAACATACAATCCAGTGATAATCCCACTTCTGGCATGTGTCCAAAAGAAATGAAAACATATGGCACTCAAAGACCCGGATACAAATGTTTGCAGCAGCTTTATTCATAGTAGCCACAACTGGAGACAACTTGAATGTCCATTAACCAGTGAGTGGGAAAGCAAGCTGTGGCATATTCATAAAACCCAGTCTTCGTGCAATGGTCACACAATATTCAACAGTAAAAAGGAACTATCTACAGATACATGCAACAACATGGGTGAATCTCAAACACATATGACAAGTGATACAGTCACAGGCAGACAGCTGCACACTGCACACTTGCATTTCTATGACATGCTGGAAAACCACAGGAATGAAAACCAGGTCATTGGTTTCTAGGGGCTGAGGTGGGGGCAGGCTTTGACGGCCAAGGGGCAGCATTGAGGGACTTCTGGGAGACAGCACCGTCCTATGCCTGGACCAAAGTGGTCGTTGCATGATTGTGTCTTTGTCAGAAGTCATCAAACTGTAAAAAGAGCCACTTTTGCTGTGTGCTAATTATAGCTCAATAACACCCCACCAAAAAAAAAAAAAAAATCACTTCACTGTCCTCATCATTGAAAGTAAAGACATTGAAGGAAGGGGAGGAGCACTCCCTACATGGCAGAAATGGTGTTGAACGACCGAGGAGCTGCATTCCCTGTGGTCAGGTACCCAGGAGGCCCTGGGTTCTCTCCATTTTACAGATGAGTGAACGGAGGCCTGGAGGTGCCAGGTCACCCAGTGCCACCCCGGAAGGCTGGAATGGAGTTGGGACTTCCACCCAGGACTGACTGCAGCGTCACCCCCCAAACCACTAAAGCTGTCCTGGGAGAGACCTTGGGTATCAAGCCAGCCTCCTCCTCCTGTTTTCCAGAGGAAAGGATGAGGCCTCAGGGGGAACCCATCCAGGCTCACGAAGAGAGCGACAGAATCAGAATGCAGAGGGAGCCAGGCCTCATTTGTCAACAAACACCTTCCTATGACAACCTTGGGAATAGAAAAGACCCCAAGACGTGACAGGAACGAGGTCCGAAGCCATGACAGGAACAAAGTCTGAGGCCGCATGCAACACAGGTGCACCAGGGTGAGCCCCGCCCCTGCCCTCAGGGAGCTCCCAGCCCCATCTGGCACAAGGTCACCTCCCAGACCCTGGGCAAGTGGCTCTCCAGACACACCCAAGAGGTGCAAACACCTCTCTGCAGTTCCCTCCTGAAAGCGACACTGGGACCTTGGTGATGATGGAAGCTGGGGGTTCCCCATGGGGGCACTAGGGTTAGAGCAGGGAGGGAGCGGGACCCAAGACATGCCTCAGGCCTGTCCAGGAGGGATTCCAGCCCCAAGAGAGGGCGAAGAGACGAACGCCGTTTCCAAGCCAGAGAAGCAGTGAGAGTCCACACTGCATTTCCCGGTCTGCAGGGAAGGGCAACAGCAGGTGGGTGGGTCAGGCACCAGACCTTTCTAGACTGGCTGCAGGACCTCTACACCCCACCTCGGTTCTGATCAACAGTTCTGGGAGTTCCAAAATGCAAGTGCTCAGCTCTTTAACCCAGGAATTCCCAGCCAGCAGGCAGAGCCTTCGGGAACACACGTGCAAGATGCCCCACCTAGAGGCAGGAATGTGGCTGAGGCATTTGCACCATCAGGCAGGTCTGAACACCTGGGGAGGAGAGCCGCTCCCTCCGTCTCTTAGTGCTTCCCACCCTAGCTTCCCATCATGGCTGGGCCACCTACCAGCTTCTCTGTGCCTCAGTTTCCTCATCCGGGAATTGTGGATTGCAATCCTATCTACACCCCAGTCTCTCATGGAGATGGTGTATGTAAAGTACATCACCTGGCACACAGCTAGTAGCCATGAGGCAGCCAGCCCAGGGTTGTTCTTGGGAACATGGGACAGCCCACTGCCTGGAAATTTGGTGGCTCTGGGATTGGCCAGATGTCTTCCATGGAAAACCAGGCAGCCCATGCTGAGACACAGTGGCCCATCGAGATATCACAGTCTGGGAACCTTTCCGGGCCACCCCTGGGCAGCTGGGACAGTGCCAGGGACCTTGGCCAGCTCACATCAGGAGGCTCCCCTGCCAGGCTGCCTGCACCCTCCTCAGGCAAGGCCTAGCCTAGATGTACAGACACCCAGAGGGAAGGGGCTCCAGGACAGCAGAGGTGGGGAACTGCCTTCAGACCCTCTGTTTAGGACAGCACAATGCTAAGAGGACCTCCAGGACAAGAGCCAGCAGGGACCACAAGCTGACAGGCCTCTGACGTCACCACACCTCTAAAGTCAAGAATAGATACAAATGCATCGAAACACGGTCACAGGGGAACACAATGCTGGAGAGGACCCGCTCTGACGGAAGGAGGACTCGGCTCTTTTGAAACACGGATGGAAAACTCCAGAAGACAGATATCCTTATTTATGAGGTGCCCCAATCCCTGAGCAGGCAGTAGACGCTGCCAGCCTTCGAAGCCCACTGAGCTTCTGTAAGATGGATTTCCTGGGATCGGACAGCACCTCCTCCCCGACTCCCTGGGAGCGTCCTCTACAGCAGGGAGCCTGAGTAAACAGAGGGGCCACTGAGGCTTACGGAAGTCATGTTCCCTCTCAAGGCCGGCCACAGAGCCAGACATGGCAGAGCCAGGACTGGAGCACAAGATTCTGATTCCAGCGCTCCATGTCTTTTTCCCTGGCCCTCCTCCCTACACATGCAGATTCCACCTACCCAGGAAAATCTCACTCCTGCTCCCGTCACCCCCATCAAGGCTCCCACCCAGGAAGTGAGTTTTTGGAAGGATGGCAAGATTCATCACCTTGAAAGAACGCTTACATTCCTTCTTCCATTAAAAAGAAAAGAATTTATTATTTTATTATCGTTATTATTGTTATTGAGATAGGGTCTCACTCTGTCATCCAGGCTGGAGTGCAGCAGCATAATCTCAGCTCACTGCAGCCTCAAACTCCCAGGGTCCAAGCAATTCTGCAATTCTGCCACCTCAGCCTCCCTAGTAGCCGGGACCACAGGCATACGCCACCACACCCAGTTAATTCTTGTATTTTTTGTAGAGACAGGGTCTCACTATGCTGCCCAGGCTGGTCTCAAACTCCTGGCCACATGTGATCCACCTGCCTCCGCCTCCCAAAGTGCTGGGATTGTAGGCATAAGCCACCACAACCTGCAAATAATTCTATTGATCTAACTATGCCAGAATAGAGACGGATCAATATTATACATAGTATTATTTCCTGGGCCCGCCATAACCAATTACCACAGGTGGCTCAAATTTGCGGAAATTCTCTCACCGCTCTGGAAGCAGAAATCCAAACTCGAGGTGTCGGCTGGGCTGGGTCCGCTGAGGCTCTCAGGGAGGGTCCTTCCTTGCCCCTGCCAGCTTCTGCTGGTTCCTGGCATTCCCTGGCTTATGGCCACATCGCCCCAATCTCTGCTTCCATCGGCGCGTGGTCTTCCCAGCCTGTGTCTCTGGGTCTCTTCTTCCTATGAGGATACCAGCCATGGGGTCAGGGTCCACCCTGCTCCAGAACTGCCCCCTCTTCACTTGACTACATCTGCAAAGACCCAAAGAAGCTCATACTCTGAGGCTCCGAATGGATGTGAATTTTGTGGGGATATTATTTTTTTAATTAACACATAATAATGTACATATTTATGGGGCACATGTGATATTTCAATACATGCATATGATCCTATTTCAACATGTCACGATCACAGCAGAGTGACTGGGACGTCCATCGCCTCAAACATCTATCTCTCCTTTATGTTGGGAACATTCCAATTCTTCTCTTCTAGCTATTTTGAAATATATAATAAATTATTAATATAGTCCCCCTACTGTGCCATAGAACACTAGAGCTCATTCCTTCTGTCCAACTGTAATTTTGTACCCATTTACTAATCTCTCCCTATTCCCCTGTCCCCATCACCCTTCCCATTCCCTGGTCCCCAAGCTCATTCACTTTTCCTCAAATGACAGAATTGCATTCTTTTTTATAGTATTCCATTATGTATATGCACTTGATTTTCTTTATCCATTCATCCATTGATGGACACATAGGTTGATTCCATCTCTTAGCTATTGTGAATAGCACTACAGTGAGAATGTGGGTGCAGATGTCTCTTTCACATGCTGATCTCCTAGTCTTTGTATACATACCCACTAGCAGAATTGCTGGGTCATATGGTAGGTCTGCTTTTAATTTTTTGAGGAATTTCCATACTGTTGTCCATAATGGCTGGACTATTTTACATTCCCACTAAGAGTGTATAAGAGTTGCTTTTCCCTGTATCCTCACCAGCATTTGTTATTTGGTTGTTTTTGTCTTTTTGATAACTTTATTTCTACTTTAAGTGGGATAAGATATCTCATCGTGGTTTTGTTTTTTGTTTTTGTTTTTGAGATGAAGTCTCGCTCTGTCACCCAGGCTGGAGTGCAGTGCCACGATCTCCACTCACTGCAACCTCCACCTCCTGGGTTCAAGCAATCCTTCCAACTCAGTCTCCCAAGTAGCTGGAATTACAGACATGCATGACCATGACCAGCTATTTTTTGTATTTTTAGTAGAGACAGGTTTCACCTTGTTGGCCAGGCTGGTCTCAAACTCCTGACCTCAAGTGATCTGCTCGCCTCGGCCTCCCAAAGTGCTAGGATTACAGGCGTAAGCCACCACGTCCGGCCCTCACTGTGGTTTTAATTTACATTTCTCTGATGATCAGTGATGTTGAGTATTTTTTTCATATACTTGTTGGCCCTTTGTATGTCTTCTTTTGAGAAATGTCTATTTAGAACACTTGCCCATTTTTTAATCGTATTTGGATTTTTTGCTGTTGAGTTGTTCAAGTTCTTTATATGCTTTTGTTGCCAGTGCTTTTGAAGTCTTAGCCATAAAATCTTTGCCCAGACCAATATCCTGAAATGTTTCCCCTATGTTTTCTTCTAGTAGTTTCATAGTAAGTCTTTAATCCATTTTGAGTTTTTTGTGTGTATGGCGTAAGGTATGGGTCCAACTTCATTCTTTTGCATGTGAATATCCAGTTTTTCCAGCACCATTTATTAGAAACTGTCCTTTCCCCAACAGATGTTATTGGTGCCTTTGTTGAAAATCAAGTGGCTATTAATACATGCATGGATTTGCATCTGGACTCTCTATTGTGGTCCATGTGTCTATGTGTCTGTTTTTAGCCAGTACCATGCTGTTTTGGTTACTATGGCTCTGTAGTATATTTCGAAGTCAGGTAGTGTGATGCCTCGTTTTGTTCTTTTAGCACCAGATTGCTTTGGCTATTGGGGTGTTTTGTGGTTCCCTACGACTTTCAGGATTTTTTTTTCTATTTCTGTGAAGAATGTCATTGCTATTTTGATAGGGATTGCACTGAATCTGTAGATCACTTTAGGTCATATGTGGGGACATTATTAACCATTATTTCTTCAACCTAAAAGTTCATTTCTTTCTTTTGATTTTGAAGGACATTAAAATATCACTGTGGGTCCCTGCAAGTATCACGGACCCAGGTACTGTGCATCCTGGAGGCACCACCCCATCTCCGTCCACCCCAACAACTGGCACATTCTCCTGGCACACAGTAGGTATGCACCAGGCTGCCTTGCTGCAGAGGTCCCAGCAGCTAGAGAGAGGTCAGCTGGCCTGTGCTTTCTACTCCCTGTCCCCGGTTATCGCCTGTGCCTCCTCCCGGGCACTGGGTGGATAAAGTTCTTTGCTATAATCTGCTCCTTCCAAGGGTGCCTTTCCACTGGCCGCCCTGCACAAACAGCCCCACTCTGGCTGCCACCCGCTCGGCTCCAGACTCCTGATATGAATGCGGAGGTTAGATATTCTTGACACCGCTTTAATTTTTCAAATAGCAAGCCAGTTACCAAGCACGTTGGCACCTGGGCCCAGTTCCACCACGACTTGGCAGGGCCCACGCAAGCTGCTGGCAGTGATGGATGCGTGCCCCTCGGCACACCCCACACCCACCCGGCCGCAGCCGCGCCAGCCCCAGGACCTCACGCAGCCAGCCCCCGGCAGCTGTGAGGCCCGAGTGCCAAGACACAGAGTGGGCTTTTCCGAGGCCGGGATCCGGCTGGGCGGGCTTCCCAGCATGGCCTCTGGGAAATGTGTGCAAGGCCTCTCATCCATCTGCAGGGACTGAGCTGCTCGGAGGGCCTGGGGCTGAGCGATTTCATGTATTTTCCCACCCACTCGGCCTCACCCTCCCTCAGCCTCGCGCCAAAACAAAATCATTTTAAAAATAAAAAGTAACAGGCGATACAGAAGCTCTCAGAGCTGGATAGAACTTAGCCATCAGAGGGTCCCATTCACTCATGGTACAGTTGGAGACACTGAAGCTGGCACCAGGAGGCTGAACAGCCAAGACTAGAGCCAGGGTTCTGGCTATCAGAGGGGACAGTCGCTCAGCAGTTCTCAGGAGCATGAGAGCCAGGCAGCGGGTCCAATCCCCAGCTCTGCCACTCGTGAGCTCTGCAACTCCGGGCAAATCGCTTCCCCACTCTGTGCCTCAGTCTCCCCATCCACAGAGTACGACCTGCCTTTCAGGCTATTGTCAGGAAGACGGGGTCATCAGCGTGCGGGGAGAGGTGGGCCCCAAGCAAGGCTGGACAGTCACTGCACAGGGTACAGAACCCTGGAATGGCAGGGTCCCTGAGGAAGGTCAGAGTCAGACCCCTGCAGCAGGTGAGACATAAAGGCCATTCCGGACCGCACTCCACAGTGAGGCCTACACCTGTATCCATGTACCAGGCCACCAAGAAGGGCCGTCTGTCCATCAGGCACCGTCTGGTGCTGCTAGACCTCTGGGAAGGACTCCAGTTCCTGACTTGTGGGCACTGGCAAGTACTAGGCAGAGAGACTGGAGCCCGAGGGGACGTCAGAACACTCTGGACAGGCCCAGAGAAGGGTTGCGTGCAGCCCCAGGCGCCCAGCCCAAGGACTCAGACCCCACCAGGCGTGAGCCCTCTTCAACCTCACAGCAGAGAGGGCTCCAAGGCAAAACCCCTCCCCTGCCTGCCTCCCTTTTGAAAAGCCTGAAGCCCCATCTGATCAGCCCTCGAATGTCCCCCTAAATGCCTCTGAACGGGAGGTGGGGTTCAGCCTCTCGCAGACAAGTGTGCCTGAGAGCCTCAGGTGAGCCAGGGGCCACTCAGCAGAGGCTCTGACTGGAGGGACAGGGCCCTGTGCAGGTGCAGTTTGATGAGGGTGGAAGGACACAGATGACGCCTGGACCAGCATCACCCACACACCAGCCCCTGGCCACGCGGCCGCTGATCACTCTGTACATGGCTGGTGAGACTGATAAACTGTGATTTTTTAAAAACATATTTAATTTTAATTATTTTACATTTAAAAACTGAAGCAATAATTGGATTGTTTGTAACTCAAAGGATAAATGTTTGCGGGATGGATACCCCATTCCCCAGGACGTGCTGATTTCACACCGCATGCCTGTATCCAAACATCTCATGGACCCCACAGGTACATACACCTACTACAGACCTGCAGAAAAATTCATTAAATTTAATTTTTAAACCCGAAGCCACGTGGGCCAGGCGAGGTGGCTCACGCCTGTGATCCCAACACTTTGGGAGGCCGAGGCGGGCAGATCACGAGGTCAGGAGTTGGAGACCAGCTTGAGCAACATGGTGAAACCCCGTCTCTACTGAAAATAAAAAAATTAGCTGGGCGTGGTGGTGTGCACCTGTAATCCCAGCTAGTAAGGAGGCTGAGGCAGGAGAATCATTTGAACCCGGGAGGCGGAGATTGCAGTGAGCCGAGATAGCACCACTGTACTCCAGCCTAAGCGACAGAGTGAAACTCCGTCTCAACAACAACAACAACAAAAAACTGAAGCCATGTGAAACGGCCTCTTGTTCAACACAACTTTATTATCTAGGTAGGACTTTCAACATGTAGTGTCTGAAGTAAGAGGTGCTCTCGATGTAAAAAAACGTACTGGGTTCTTAAGACTAGTACATACAAAAGAATGCAAAATATCCCAATAATTTTAATATTGATTATGTGCTGATTCAATATTTTGGATGGACTGGGTTAAATAAAATGTGATTAAAATTCATTTCACCAGTTTCTTTTTACCTTTCTAATGTGGCTACTCAAAAATTTTAAATTATCTCTGTGGTTCGCATGACAAACGCTGCCCAACTTACGATGAGGTTACGTCCCAACAAACCCATCCATTGAATCAAATGCATTGAATCCACCTGAACATCACAGCATAGCCTGGCCCACCCTATGTGTGCCCAGATCACTGCCATTAGCCTACAATTGGGCAAACTCATCTAACACAAAGCCTGCTTTATAATAAGATGTTTACTATTTCATGGAATTTACGGATGTTCTCCTGAAGGCATATGGCTTTCACACCACTGTGAAGTCAGGAAATCCCTAAGGTGCATCCTAAGTTGGGAGCCATCTGTCTACAGCTAATCCTTAAACAACACGGGT